AAAACCAAAGGAATTGCTTTGTATCCCTCCTCTCCAAGCAAGCCTGCTAATGCAATTAAAAATGCACTGGGCAAACTCCACGGAAACTCCGCAGATCAACTCCTGCTCTGTCCGTTTTTACCTGCGAAGCAGCACTCCCTCCAGAGCTCACTTCAACGTGCCTTTCAGCCGTTTGCCAGGGGAGAAAATATGCTGGCTGCAAAACTTTATTAAGGCTTTGGCAAAGAAGTGGCCAACTGGGAGGGAAATGGATTCGTGTGCTTGGGGGCTTTGTTTCCACGTCCGCGTAATTGCTTTCAGAAAACATCGCCCATGCTCTCTCCTGGGCATAGTGGGAGCATGTTCTGGTTCACTGCTTCTGCCGTGTGTTCTGTACAGAGTGGCTGAATGGATATTTACATGAAAATAGTATTGCTGAGCATTTAGTTCTAATCATTTTGTACTTGGTACAGCCATCTGGAATAAAAATATTTCGAGAATATTACAGATACTCTTGCATTTTAGTCTCAAAAACTCTTAAAATACGAAACTCTTACATCCAAGTTGCCAAACTTCTTCCACACTTCTGTTATTAAGCAGCTCTGTTATTAAGCAACCCTGTTACTAAGTTTAGTGGATGTGAGACATCTCTGTCGCGTTCAGCACCGTGTGCCAGAAGCTGGGCCGTCGCTGGCGGGGAGCAGTGCGGCACCCCGACGGCGGGGCCGCCCCGGCGCGGGGAGCCTCTCCCCTTCATCCCGCCTGCAGCTGGGCGCGCACCGTTCCCTCTTCGGGTATCGCAGCTGTGGAAACACAGGTCCAAAGAGTTGCACTTTTTGAAGGATGGAAGATTGCTGTGGGATTAATCCCGTCGCATGGGGCTTTTTGAATAGCTTTTATCATACACAACTCTCTAGATGACAGAGAGGGAGGGGGAGAGAGCAGATCTGAAGGCAGAACTGGCCCTTACTTTAGTGAAAACTAAGATGTCAGACCTTCTATTACGGAAGCTAACCATTACCCAGCAAAGCAGCATGCTCGGAGGTTGGTTTTTCTTTTTTAGCTTTGCTGTAATGTTCCTGAAAGCTAATAGCATCTGTAATGTTGTTGCTGATTTGTTTTGCTGTATGAAAGAAAGCAGAAAATAGAATTGCTGTATGTAGGAGGTGAAGATGTTGTATTTTGTGTAATGAGCAATGTGCTGCAGTAAGAAAAGACTGCCACAGCAAACCCGCAGTCCCCATGAAAGCCTGAATTTAATCATGTGGCTAACCACTTTGAAAGGCAAGGCGTCACCTTGGTGTCTGAGCACTACGTGATTTTGGAGGCAGGAATCCAAACGATCAATCCAGTCTCTCGCGCGCCTTCCAGGATACACTGCTGTAAAACTGTGCACGCCCTGAATTTAAGCAAGTCGAGCACAGCCCTGCGCGAACAGCCCCCACGCCGTTGTCTAGGCTGCACAAATGGGCTGATGACTGTTGTCTACCTCGTCCTCATCGCACACACGTCCTCTGACCCCAGCAGCCGGCGCTCGGGCAGGTGGAGACCACGGGCTGAGGCTCTGCAGAGCGCCGATCCCGGCGGCCAGGTTGGCAGCTGGGATGCACCACTCCTCCTCCTCCTCCTCCGCCCTGAGCTTCTCAGCGGCTTCCTGACGTGGAGGGACTGTGGCAGCGGGCTGCAGCTTCTGTATTTACCAAAGAGCACCACAGCATGCTACAGATGGACAAGCTTGTCCTGTGTCCCCACCAAGCGCTGCCCTTCCCCACTGGGACCTTGTCCGCTTGGTACAGTTGACTGGGAGAGACCGCACGGCCATCACGGTGGTGAAACTAATTACCGGCTATCACAGATTTTACAATACACAGAGCAGCACAAATCATGGAAGGAGGCGGGGGAAAGGAGCGTGCACAAAGTATTTGGATCTGCCTGGTTTCTGAGGGCTCTGAGCACTCGTGGCTGGCACGGCTTAGGGGCTAGAGATGCCACGGTGAGACAGGCTGGAGAGACGGGAGCGCGAAGTGGTGAAGGGGGCCACAGCAGGGATAGGAGGCATGAGACTGGGGTCCTGGTTTGAGCAGAGGAGAGAGCAAGAGATACAAGAGGAGGGGGAGGATATAGCAATAGGGCCTGGTAAAGGAAATCAGAGAGGAAAGGGGCATACAGCTTCTAGAGAGAAGTTTACCGGCTCCAATGTAATAACAGATTTCTTTATTTTATTTTATTTTTAGAAAGCTGAGAAGGAGCTCAGTCTCATGCTGTTAAATAGCAGATCCCACACTTGGGACTCGCCATGGAAAAACGCTCCAGCCTTAACATTCAGTTAAACTCAGCCTGACGCTCTCTGGCTGCGCTGCCCATTTCATAGCTTGCACCTTTCACTAGGAGCCGTGTTACCATCATTTGAGGTACCAAACCCAGGGGTGTCACGGGGGAAGAAACCCAACTTTGAAGATCGCCTTCTGTTCAGTTTTGTGGATGAGAGCCAGGACTTTGAATACAGGAACATACCCCGGAACCACTTTTTTTTGCGCCAGACAAACCTCACTTCTGATAAGTTTATTAGAGGCTTTTACGTGCTAATTTCGCGTCGAATTTTGTCTCTCAGAAATCACGTGGATGGGAGGGCAGCCGCGTGCACGCGTGTTTGAGAAGGTGCTGGTGGTTGCGCTGGTCCTGGCTCTCCCACAGATGCGCTGGCGTCGCAAAGACGCGGGGCGTGCGCTGGGGGACGCGGTACTTGGCTAGCCGCCTTTCCGCACGCCACGACTGCAGGCTTTGCTTCGAGCTAGACAATTGCAACGGCTCTGCAAAGCTCTCCCTGCAGCGGAGCTGAGCACGGCGGGAGCCAGCTGGGCTCTCCTCTGGTGAAAATGACACGGAGGCTAAAGTGTCGTGAACGTTAGTAAAATTAATATTATAAAAATCTGCTGCAATTGTTTTCAGTTATTGATCAAAACAGATACTGAACAACTGTGTCCACTTGATTAATAGCAAACACTTACTACAGAAACAGACGCTAATATTAATCTTCCATTTTACTGTGTCAAATGCACATAATTATTCATCACGGATACTATTTATATACCCACGTACTGCTAAGTGAAAGAATGCTTTCATCCTGGTTTTATCATTTCTAGATTGAATCACAGTTTTTCTATTTCCTCCAGTCAGCAACTCAGCCCCACAATTTTCTCTCCAAATGACAAGCAATTCTTTTAAGCACATTGAATTATTTTTTCCAGGTGGTGGTTCAGTCGAAATTAAATGTTACTCTTTCATATTGCTCAGTAGTACAGCTGTAGCACACAAAGAAAGATGACAACTTTAATATTCTAGCTAACTTGAAAAATAGGATTTAAACAGAAGACTGTATAAATTCAGTGTTATTTATTCAGCACTCAGCACCCCTTTTGCCTCACGCGAGGATGTAGGGAGCACAGGGAGGAAGGAGAGGCTGCGGTGAACCCGCGGCAGCGTGAGCGAGGCCGCGGATCAGACTGCACCACTAACACCGACAGACGACGGCTGCGCAGCGGGGCGACGGCGTGGTCGTCTCGGCTGCGCATTCGTGTGCTGAAGGCTGGAAAGGGCCTCCAGAGCTCACCCGACCAGCCCAAGACCCACTCGGGCTCCAAACTCACATCAGCACTGGAAGCTTTGATTTTTACTATTTTTAATCTCTTAGCGGTTTGACTCCCCAGCAGCTGGTGAAGGACACGGTTACCTCCGTCCCCCTTGCACCAGCCAAGGCTCTGGTCTCCCAGCGAGCAGAGCGAGGTCCCCAACTGGCAGGGACCACGCACGGGGGGCATCTCCTCTGCGTGAGCAAATACCGAGAGGAGAGGTGAGGGGAAGGCGAGGAAGGCGTCTCATACCAGAGGCCACTCTGCCGGCGCTCAGCCCTCACCTCACCGGCTGTAAGACTTCTCACTCAGCCCTCACCTCACCGGAAGCCTGAGGCCTGAGTACGCACACACTCATCACCGTTTTGCTACAACAGCACTTTGAGACGCACTCATCACCGTTTTGCTACAACAATAAAACGCCCTTTGAGCCAACAGAGACTTCACTAGCCTAGTGTTAAACTGGATGATTATTTCATATGAAACCTTTCGGTTTCCTTTACTTTGTCCGCGTAGGGCCAGTTAAAAACCAACATTAATGTGAAAAACAGAGGAAGGTCACATCAATCTCTACCAACAATTATAGAAGCTCATCGGATAAAGTCCAGCAGGAGTAGCCACATGCTCAGGTGCTGTGCTGAGTGCAACTTGCACAGATGGGTAAAAGATAAAAAATCCAAGACACTCATTTGATAAACGTAGAGCAAATAGCTCGGGTATTTTCATCTGGCAGGAACCGCGTGCACTGAAGCACCAACGTTTTACAAAAATCACATTCTATAATTTTGCAAATGGGTAACAAACGGGAAAGGCATCGTTACTAGAGATTAAAGCAAAATAAATCCACGCTTATGAATCTGCCTTATTAGCCCTTATCTGAGATGCCGCTTGGTCTAACCGTGGAACAACAGTGCCTCCCAACGACCAAAAGTACCATTCTTTCAGGTTCATGTATTTATTTGTCAGTATCTCCTTTTGCTGGTCCCTGATAGCTCTTGTATTATTTCGACCACAACATCTCCACGGATCTCTCTGCCAAGAAAGCTTTAATATTGAACTTCAAAATTAAAAGACTAGCGGAGAACCAGCATAGATATCCCCTGCCAGAATGTTCTGTTCTTGATCTGTAAGCAAAAAACCTCAGTAACGGCAAGACCTGAAACGTGGATGTCTGAGACCCCCAAGGATCCCCGGAATTACAGTGTTGGAAGCGTTCCCGTTATCGCAACCACGACTGTATGTTACGATCAGTGATACACGTAATGTCGCAGTTAAGCACATCGGTACTACTTTTCTTAACTGATTGTGAAAATTATTCACCAAATAAAATTAACATTTTCCCTCTTCTCTGCTATCCCGAAACAGGTCCAGATTGTTTCAGTTCCAAGAATCTCGCGCTGCAAGCCCAGAAAAAGATCCTGAGTAAAATGGCAACCAAAACCATGGCTAACATGCTGATCGATGACACAAGCAGCGAAATCTTCGATGAGCTGTACAAAGTAACAAAGGAACACACAAGAAACAAAAAGGAAGCCCATAAAATTATGAAAGACCTGATTAAAGTGGCAATAAAAATCGGGATCCTCTATCGAAATAATCAGTTCAACCAAGAAGAGCTGGAAATCGTAGACAAGTTCAGGAAGAAGCTGAACCAAACTGCCATGACAATTGTCAGTTTCTACGAGGTAGAGTACACTTTCGACAGAAACGTTCTTGCAGAACTTCTGAATGAATGTAAAGACCTTGTGCATGAACTAGTAGATCGACACCTGACACCGAGATCCCACGGGCGCATCAACCACGTCTTCAATCACTTTGCGGATGTGGAATTTCTAACTGCCCTGTACAGTCTGGATGGGGACTGTCGGCCATACCTCAAAAAGATCTGCGATGGCATCAACAAACTACTTGATGAGAAGGTCCTTTGAAACTACCCTCAAAACCAAGAAACCAACCAAAAACTTCTCTCTAGAACCGGCCACCCTTCATGAGCCATGGTGAGCAAGCGAGCTTCCTTCCTACCGGTCTCTTACTACAGTCTCCAGCAGGGGCCAGAAGGTGCTCACCAGGCTCGTGATGAAGTGGAAAACCTAAATCAGAAAGCTATCAATTTTAATGTTTTGTTCAGATAATTCAGTCTTTTCCAAGGAGCGAACAAGGCTGCTGATATAGATTGTTCAGAAACAGATTGCTATACACCCCGATCTCACGAGCTTTGTGTTCAAGGCTGAACGTGTGAAAAGAAAGTAAACTCAAACGCATGGCTATGTAAAAATAGACAGGTGAAGGCAAGCGAGCAACGCATGGAATTTACCCCCAGGCTGCCCGTGGTGCGTATGTTTTTATTATTCCCACGCTAACCGAAAAAGCTTAGACAGAAAGTAGGGCTGTAGTGGATTAAGCTCGCTCCTTTCAAAAGGGTCAGGAATCAATATGAGAAGGCATCTCTGATTCTACGAAGTACTAAAGTCTAACAGGGGAATAACAAATAATACAAACTGAGTAGAAGTGGGAGAAAATTTAAAGAGCTGCTCTACGAAGCAATATTTTCATTAACGAGTTCTGGTTTATACCTGCTAATAACAGGTATAAAGAAGGTGTCATTTTAATTTTGAAAAGCAGCTCAGTGGTTCGAGCTCAAAGGTAACCAGAAAACTAGATACAGTAGGACATCGGTTTCCCCACTCTCAGGGTTTGCGTATTTGGTAACACCAGATGAGTTCAGGCTGAAGGTTGTGCTGCTTTTTGTGCCCTTACTGTTTTGCCTGCCGGAACAAAATATTCTTTGTGAAGATTTTGACATTGCACTTGTGAAGAGGAGCACGACTAAGACACCGATGGAGCTACAAAGCGACGTTTACATCCCCTATCCTCAAAATACTCAGCCTAGACAAAACCCTCGGGTTAATGTGTCCATGATGTTAATTTGTGCCTACAGAGGTGTGATACAAAGGAAGCCCATCCGCTACGCTTGCAGTGCCATCTAAGTGTAGTATATCCACAGTAGTCTTAAGAGAACAGTCTTAGCGACTCCGGTGAGCTTCATGACTGACTGACTTGTTCAGAATGTTTTCAGTGACTTTTTTTTTTCCTTTTTAAACAAAAATACATAGTGTCTTCAAACTGAAAACATTTTGCAAAGAAGAAACCGTACAGAAACCAGTATGTTAGGATTAAGGGAGAACGGGAGCAGAGCAGATACACCAGCTTGCCACGTGCAGAATCTTGCAGCTGGGTAGAAGGTGCCGGCTGACCCTAAGCAAAGGAAGTACGTTCGGAAAGCTCTCCTCTCCGTGCCCTCTACATCTTATCCTCCAGACTCACCTCTGTGCCGACACTTCCGTGTCATGTACCATCTCCTTTTAGTTGACACAGAGAGCAGACAATCCCGTTACCTGGAGGTAACACCTTCCGTATCACATATATTATAATACAGAGATGCATGTACTTGAAAATTGACAGAGACATGAAAATGTATTTGAAAGCCATTCCTCTCTGAGGAAAACTGCCAGTGTTGATCACCCATTACTTTAGGATAAGAAAAATGTATGTTTCGCATTTAAATTCTTAAATGCTATGGTGGTAAAGAAAACTGTTCAAAATCTTCTTCTTCTGTCTTTCCTCACCCCAGAATAACTATATTGTGTCTCTTGCAACAACAATTTTGACTGTCACGCCTTTATACAGTTGAGAATACACATACCCAGCTCACGTATTCACTAGGGTTGTGCTAGATGGATTTTTATCTGTTCCCAGGAGAACTCATTTTGGAGCACAGTAAAAATGGCAGCACATTACCAGAGCAGTTCGTAATGATGCAGTTTTCCTCGCGTATTTCCTTTAACCATAAAAAGTATATTTAGTAGCAATGAAGGTGGACAATTCCTTTGCAACACAGCACAGTAATGAAATACCCACATTTGGGGTTGCAAGTTCAGCATTTGCGGAGCCATATTTACATGCACAATTAGCTGCATTTTTTCCAAGCACGTACTTGTCAACTGATGCTTTTGAACAGTATTTATCGTATCCAACATTCCTGTCCCAGTGCACACATGTCGGATTTTGCGTGTTTGTTTCACTTGTGGCAAACAAATTTAAGTTCTTTTTTTAAAGCCAGAAAAAAAAAAAAAAGAGATTATTCAACATTGAAGATGTCCAAAGGAAAGGGATATCCTGGATCTGTGACCTTCTTTTTGTGTGTTGCAAATATCAATATTCAGATTCTGGTATTTTAGACAAACCAGCAGAACAGCTGTTGTTTTATTTATAAATCTGAGTAGCCTTAAGGAAAGAGAATGTTTTCGAGTATTTCTCATACTTGCATATCCTGTATATTCATTGTTTACTTTTGTACTTGTAGCTTGATATGTAGTAGCATTGCTAAAATACAGGCAATGTTCAGGTCACCTTAAGTATATGATGTATTATCATATTTGTGGATTAAAAATGTGTGATTACTGCCCTTTTTGTTTCCTTTTCGTTTATTTATTCTGCCATCCAATGTAAACTCAAGTTAAGAGATAAGAAGAGGGAATTCCTGTAATCTAAGTTTTGTCACCTTCCACTTTTGCAACCCTAATGCTCTCCGATGACCAGATTTTGAGAAGGTAGGAGGTAGGCAGAGGGACAGTTTGAGGGTTTAAAAGAAAACCGGAACTCCACATTTCTGTTCCATCACGCGCACGCAAGACAAACGCGCATGGCCAGCAAAGGAAAATTCTGTTTTTCCACAAAGTTCTCAAGCACCTGAGCTAACAAACGATGCTGGCTCAGTCTGTTTCGTAGCGCGGCTCAGTCACCAGGCTCAGAAACTCCCTCGCAAACCCTGTGGGGGAAATGGCACAGGCTCCTTCCCTTCAGGTACCAGCCTCGCCCCAGGCTCAGCCCGAGCGGTGCCTACAGGATACACAGGCAGCCTGTGCCACGGCCAGAGCAGATGTAGCACGCCAAGATCTAGCTCTCTACCAAGCACCTTCTTGCAAGTTTCCCATCATGTATTTAGCTCAGTTTAGCTAAACGGGATTTCAGTTAGACAGAAGACACAGCCCTGACAGATTTCAAATCCCTGCCCTAAACGTGGAGACGCTAGAACCTACCAGAACGTTTTAAACAGCAGCAAGCGTATATTCTCCTATCCTTATTCCCGGAAAAGGCAAACTGTTTTGGCTGAAAGAGCTCTGGATTTGCAAACAACTCACACGGCAATTATACTGGAAGCAATTAAAGATTGGCACAAAGAGAAAGCTGCCAACTACCTTTAAATAAAAAGTTTAAAGCAATCTTTGTAAGTGGTGTTTCGAGCCACACTGCTGGTAAAACATTGCTGTCAGGTTAATTTTATGAATCATATCATGGCAGGACACAATATTCTTTGTTTCCTCACTGCCAACTTTACGTAATAAAGTTAAAGAGAAAAATGTTAATGTTCAAGAAACTCTCAAGGGAATGACCACTTCTGGCATCCTAATGAGGCTGTACAGGTACCACAGAACAGTGCATCGCACTGAACATGTCATCTTACTTGTGTTAGAGAAACATTCTCACAGAAAGGCATATAAACAGCTGACCCTGAAGAGAACCAAGAGGTAAAGCACAATTAACTCTCATCGCAGCAACAGAAATGCAAAAGCAAGTCTTAACTGGATGACTTAAGCAGGTCTACGTCCATTTTTACGTGCTATGATACGTACCTCCCTGCCAGAAAAGGACTATGCACAGCCTTACCCACACAGAAAAGGTAATACAGCTCTTTATGCTGCAAAACTACTAGTGGGACTCTATAGGAGGTAACTACCTTTCCAATACTTAGAAACCATCAGGCAATGTCATTTATGAGCTACTTGCAAGTACCGGAAGACCTCGAGATAGTGCCATCCATTACCCAAATTTATTCTGTCGGGTCCTTACAGGATGAGAAGGGGTTGGGAATACCTAGCAGAAAGTAATAAGACAATGGGAGATTTGATCTATGTTTAGGAAAACACACTGCACCATACTGCCATGTTGCACCTCCACCAAATTTTCCTACCGAAGTATTTGTTTCATTAAAAATACCTGAAAATAGTTGGGGTAAGGGGGGAGAACCTGACAAAACAGTCGAACTGTGGATCCAATACAACCACTTGTCTGTTGACTCCAAAATGTCCAGAACTCCAAGTGGCCCGTGGCACAGAGCAGTGAAACAGCGGCGTCTCCTGGTACCTAGGGTTTTGGTCCGAAACGCTGTTAACCCACCAGTTCGGACAGGTCGGTGTATACTCTGACTGGCCTCTGGCTGCCTCTTGAAAGTAAACTTCTTCGTGCTAACTGGATTATGTCCTCTCTTCCTTCTAGCCTACTTCTATGCACCTTGTTTCCCTTTCCCTGAAAACAGGTTAATCCTTCAAGATCTAGTAGAGTCACAAATAAAAGTAAACGGGAACACCACAGAAGATGAAGATATTCACTGAAGGATTTTCAGTACAGAACTAGATGAAAGAATATTCCTTTGTATAATTACTTATGCAGCTATATTTCATTTTAGAGACAACTGGATGATGGATCAAGACCAGAGGGATTCCCAGCACTGAATTGCTGAGGTTCTCAAGGGCCTAAGCTCCCTACATCAGCCAGAACTGCAGTGCAGCATGCACTCTTGTTACACACCGACAGCCAGGCCATGCAGAACAGCCTCTCGGTTTAGATCAGGGCTCCAGCCACCTTCAATTCAGCAATTGTGTCAAACTTTCCAAACTCCCAACTCCTCCTCAATACTAGAGCAAATGGTGTGTTATGTTAGCACTGGACTTAAAAAAAAATGCTATTGCTGTCAACGATGAACAAGAGACCCCAAAGTCTCCTGTGATGCCTAAAAACAAATCCCACAATCTGGCAGTATTCCAAAAAGAGTATCGGATAACGTGAGCTGGCACACAGAATGCTGTTCAAAAGACCTAAAGTGTACTCTTTCACTCTTTTTATACCTCCAG